GTGAAGGGGTTGTTTTGTTTGGTATGACTATGAACTGTTACGGTAGGTATACTTTTACTATAAAACTCTTGGATATTAAAATAACGATTGTGACAAATTAATTTAAAAGTCATCTTTTATGGGCTTTAAGAAAAAAAAAACAAAACATGACAAAAAACGTTACTTTGAGCTGTGAATAATTCATGTGACAAAAAACATTTTTAGTCATGTGTTTAGATTGGGCTGTATTTTAAAAAAAAAAAAATTTTGAAGCTAGATGAATTATAACGAGTAGTCAAATATCAGAACAAGTTTCTCAAAATCGTCGTGTTAAGTAGATTGTATGTAGTAATGTTTCATTTTTCCAGTTATGATTTTAGCACATATAAAAACACATAACATTAGCGGAATTACGTTTCAAAAAATTTGGTATCCTATTGCGAATGTTGGGATTTGATAATGTTGAAATAGGCCCAAAAGTAAGTGAAGCCCACGAAAAGGTTTCTCGGTGTCGTCTCCTTTTCGTTAAACCCTAAACCTAAACTCGGAAGCATATCACACGGCTGTATCATCTTCTTCGACTATAAACCCTAATTTTTTTGGGGATATTTTTCTGCAGTCTGCAAATCCTCAGAATCGACCCTAATCTCTGATCAATCCGGATTCACCATGGTTGATGGAAATGGGTTCCTGGTGAGCTCAGTTACTGAGCTTCACCGTAAAGAGAAACAGAAGAAGAAAGGCAAATCCGGAGGATTCGAGTCACTTAACCTCGGTCCTAATGTCTTCAATGCAATCAAGAAGAAAGGGTACAAAGTTCCTACGCCGATCCAGCGAAAGACGATGCCTTTAATTCTCTCCGGCGTCGACGTCGTCGCTATGGCGAGAACCGGTTCCGGAAAAACCGCAGCTTTTCTTATCCCTATGCTTGAGAAGCTCAAACAACATGTGCCTCAAGGAGGTGTTAGAGCGCTTATATTGTCTCCTACTCGTGATTTAGCCGAGCAAACTCTCAAGTTCACTAAGGAACTCGGCAAATTTACAGGTTGGGTTTCTGTAATGTCAAGCCTTCAATTCCAATCTAGAAACTTTTTTCTTAGTTGAATTGATTGGGTTTTGGCTATTCAATTATGTGATTGTGTTTAAACACATTTGATTCTTTTGTGGTTTCAGATCTTCGTGTTACCTTACTTGTTGGTGGAGATAGCATGGAAGATCAGTTTGAAGAGTTGACAAAGAGCCCTGATGTGATTATTGCAACGCCTGGGAGACTTATGCATCTTTTGTCTGAGGTAGATGACATGACACTTAGGACAGTTGAGTATGTGGTTTTCGATGAGGCAGATAGTCTGTTTGGTATGGGTTTTGCTGAGCAGTTGCATCAGATTCTAGGTCAGTTAAGTGAGAACAGGCAGACTTTGCTTTTTAGTGCCACTTTACCAAGTGCTCTTGCAGAATTTGCAAAGGCTGGTTTGCGTGAGCCTCAGCTTGTTCGGTTAGATGTCGAGAACAAGATAAGTCCGGACTTGAAACTTTCGTTTTTGACCTTACGACCTGAAGAGAAGTATGCTGCGTTGATATACTTGGTAAGGGAGCATATTAGTTCAGATCAACAGACCTTGATATTTGTTTCGACAAAGCATCATGTGGAATTCGTCAACTCACTGTTTAAGTTGGAAAATATCGAGCCATCTGTATGTTATGGTGATATGGATCAAGACGCACGCAAGATTCATGTATCAAGGTTCAGAGCGAGGAAGACTATGTTGTTGATTGTGACAGATATTGCTGCTAGAGGTATTGACATACCATTGCTTGATAATGTTATAAACTGGGATTTCCCTCCAAGACCGAAGATTTTTGTCCATCGAGTGGGAAGAGCTGCTAGGGCTGGTCGTATAGGTTCTGCGTACTCCTTTGTTACACCTGAGGATATGCCATATATGTTAGATCTTCATCTATTCCTCTCAAAACCAATTAGGCCTGCACCCACTGAGGATGAGGTCTTGAAGAACATGGTAGAAGTAATGAACAGAACTAGTCAAGCAATTGATAGTGGAGTAACTGTTTATGGTCGTTTCCCACAGAATACCATCGATCTTATTTTTAACAAAATCCGAGAGATGATTGATGCATCTGCAGAGCTAGATTCCCTTGAAAGAACATCCACAAAAGCTTTTCGGTTGTATACGAAAACAAAACCCTCACCATCAAAAGAGTCAATAAGGAGAGCTAAGGAATTACCCCGAGAAGGCTTGCATCCCATCTTCAGAAGCATAATTGAAGGTGGGGAATTAGAGGCTATGGCATTTTTTCAGAAAATTAGAGATTTCAGGTGAGTAGTATAGTTATCCTTTATTCATCCATCTCGTTTGTATGACCAGTCTCGAAGATGGTCTCCCCACGTGTAATTTAACACCAACGTGACTGGCTGATATTTTGTAGACCCAAGCAGACCATACTTGAAGCAGAAGGTGAAGCTGCCAAATCCAAACATTTGAAGGTAATCCTTGCTTTTCTTTGGTTTGTTTGGCTGTTATACTATCTATATGATCATATCATCTCTTTCAAAATTCTCTACTTGGCTGGTAGTTTACTGGTATAATTCCGATATTTGTGTATAAGGGGATGAAGCCTAATATTTTGGTTCTTTTGCAGGGTCCTCCTGGGCAATGGGTTGATGTGATGAAGAGGAAAAGGGCCATTCATGAGAAGATCATTGATATGAGACATCAGCAGAAACAGAAGAGTTCCAATAATCATTTGGAGATGGTAATTTCTAATATTAATCTTTGACGTACTCATTGTCTACCATGAGTTTCACTCACATAAGTGTTATGATATCTAGGAAGCTGAACCTACTACAACTTTGATTGAGGACAGTGTAACGGGAAACAAAGGTATGCATGTTGCTTGTGCACTTGTTCTGTGTTAAAGTCTTTTATTGTTGATCTTTTGAATAGTTTTATCTTGTGGAGCCTGGTTGGTTTTCCACTTCTTTGGTTACCTAGCTTCAAATAAACTCTGTATGGATTTCAGCAGGCGGTAAGAAAAGAAAGGCACAAGAAAGCTTCAAGGACGAAGAGAACTTTATCAGCTCCATACCTTTAAATCATGTATGTCAAAGCTACAATGCTTATGATCATTTTGTTTATTCTACTGATATTGAGATGACGCGGAGTTTGACTCTTTGTTACTCTTATGCACGCAGCATTCAGAGGCAGGGCTATCTGTGAGGGGTAACGAAGGGTTTGGATCAAATAGGTAATAAGATTTTTCATGGGTTTTTTCTGACATTCCACAGGATCAAGGGTTGCACTCAAATCTTGCCAAAAAATTGATATTGACAAGCCTTATGTTCTTATTTCGAACTGTAGGTTGGACGCTGCTGTTCTAGATCTAGTTGCAGATGATGGCCAAGGCATCAAGCAGCAACAAACAAATTATCACTGGGACAAGGTAACGAGTTCATGTACATCTCAACAATGACCCCAACTGTAATCTTATAAAAAAACTGGATTTATTCTTTGGTGACAGAAAAGTAAGAAGTACATCAAGTTGAACAATGGAGATCGAGTAACCGCCAGTGGAAAGGTAGTAGTAGTACCTTTATTACAAAAAGAAAATGATTTGTCTTTTGGTTAAAGAATGGTTGATGATTCTGAGGATGCTTTGAGGTAACTAAAGTCTCTTGTAACTATAAATAGATAAAGACAGAGAGTGGAGCTAAAGTGAAAACAAAGAAGACAGACATATACAAGAAATGGAAAGCAAAGTCTCACAAGAAAGTATCCGGGGGAGAGGATGCTGATGCAGACGACACGACAAGGATGTCAGGTATAGTTGTACAACTATCTCCCACACAAATATTCGTCGTTTTGACAGCTTGAGTCGTCAGTAGGTCTAAAGAGAAAACTTTACAGGTAGAGGTGGCCGAGGCGCTCGAGGTGGGAAAAGATGGCAAGGATCAGTGCCTAACGCGCATGTGCGTTCAGAGATCAAAGATCTGGAGCAGGTGCGCAAGGAGAGGCAACAAAAGGCAAACAAAGTGTCTTATCTGCAAAGCAAGAGAGGCGGCGGGGCCAGGGGAGGTCAAGGTGGTGGCAGTAGAGGCGGACGTCGTGGTGGTGGTAGCAGCAGGGAATTTGGTAGCGGAAGTGGGAGGGATTTTGGTAGTAGAAGCAGTAGAGGGGGTGGGTCTGGTCGCGGAAGCGGGTTTGGCGGCCGCC